TAAACATTTTGAAATTACTAAAACCTCCTAACAAGTTCTATATATTACAACAAGCCTCCTGAAATCTGAAAATTTGCGAGATCCATTGTGAAGTAAAAAATTATGAACAATAACCTGAACAATTATAAAATAAAAAAACACCTTCAATAATGTAAAACTTAGTAAAATTCACAAAAAAAAATTAAATTTCAATAACAAAAAAAACTAAAATTTTTAAAACATACAAATGCCCCCAACCAAACTTAAAATTTGCAGAAAACTTCTTTAAAGATTTGAAAATTATGAAGAACACCCTAAAATTTTAAAAGTTTACAAAAATATCTAAAATTTTCAAATGTACAAACTATATATATATATATATATATATATGAAAAAATTCTAGGATCTCCGAACAGCCTCCTAAAAATTTGGAATTTATAGAAAACATGCTAAAAGTTTTGTGATTATAAAAAACACCCTCAAAATTCAAATTTTATGAAAAACACCCTAAGAATTTCAATCTTACAAACAATAAACATAAAATATAGGAATTATGAATAAAATATGGGAATTACGAATAAACCCCTAAAAATCTTGAAATTTGTAGAAAGCACAATGGAAGTTTTAATAATTGAAAAAAAAACCTTCAATAAACAGCCCTCTAAAAATTTGAACTTAAAATTCAAAATTCAAAAACAAAATCACTGGTCCTTACAACTTTACAAAACCACGTTCAACAAAACCACACCTTTTCTCTCCTCTCTCCCCCTCACTCTCTCCCCCTTCCCAATTCTAAATCCATTATTCACAAATCCATTGCCCTGGCTCCGCTCTGATTCCGAGTCCGACTTTGATCAATATGCAGTCCCTATTCATTCTCTCCTAAACTTCTCTTTTTTTTCTTTTTTCAAGTTAAATGAACGGTTGATCAACTTACAAAGATATTTGATTCAAAATTTAAAAATAAAGCCACGGTTATTACAAACCACGTTCAATGAAACCACACATTTTCTCTCCTCTATCCTCTCACTCCTCCCCTTTCTAATTCTAGATCAATTCACAAATCCGTTGCCCTGTCTCTGCTCTGGTTCCAAGTCTGATTTTGATCAACATGCAGTCTCTGTTCATTATCTCCTAATCTTCTCTCTTTTTTTTTTCTTTTTTGAGATTAAATGAACGGTTGATCAATTCACAAAGATATTTGATTCAAAATTCAAAAACAAAACCACTGGTTCTTACAACTTTACAAAACCACGTTCAACGAAACCACACCTTTTCTCTCCTTTCTCCCCCTCACTCTCTCCCCCTTCCCAATTCTAAATCCATTCACAAATCCGCTGCCCTGGCTCCGCTCTGATTCCAACTCCGACTTTGATCAACATGCAGTCCTGTTCGTTCTCTCCTAAGCTTCTTTTTTTTTCTTTTTTCAAATTAAATGAACAGTTGATCAACTTACAAAGATATTTGATTCAAAATTTAAAAATAAAGTCACCGGTTTTTACAAACCACGTTCAACGAAACCACACATTTTCTCTCCTCTCTCCCTCTCACTCTCCCCCACCCCCTTTCTAATTCTAGATCAATTCACAAATGCTCTGCCCTGTCTCTGCTCTGGTTACGAGTCCGACTTTGATCAACATGCAGTCCCTGTTCATTCTCTCCTAAGCTTTTCTTTTTTTTTCTTTTTTCAGATTAAATGAACGATTGATCAACTCACAAAGATATTTGATTCAATATTCAAAACAAAACCACCCGTTTTTACAACTTTACAAAACCATGTTCTACAAAACCACACATTTTCTCTCCTCTCTCCCCCCTTACACTCTACCCCTTCCCAATTCTAGATCCATTCACAAATCTGCTGCTCTAGCTCCACTCCGATTTTGAGTCTGACTTTGATCAACATGTAGTTCCTGTTCATTCTCTCCTAAGCTTCTCTTTCTTAAATCTCTCTCTCAAATTTCCACCATGGCGACCTCCGATGCCGATCACAGACAAGGAAGAGTCCCTCGACATCGCTGCCAACGAGGAAAAGACACCGGAGGTCAGATTGCCCGGATCATATTTTTGAATAAAGAATCCAACTTTCTTCTTGATTTCATAGAAATTAATACCTCTTTGTTTGATTTTCCCTTTGGTTTTTATTTCATAAATCCGGTTTCTTTTTAATAAGAAGTTTATTTTTTTATAAAATTCCAACTTTCTTCTTGATTTCATGGAAGATTTGATTTATTCATTAATTGTAGAATTAAAATTTAACTTTATTTCTATACAACTAGATTTAGTTATATTTGCAGTAACTGTTCTTTTGTTTTTTTCGTCATCTGGATTGGTATTATTTTGAGTTATTCAAGTGCATGTTGTGTAGTTAGGTTTGAAATTGATTGGTTGTTATGGTTTAGTTATTGCAACACAGGGATGGGAATGACCTCAGTTAAGTCTTTCTCGAAAGCATAATTTTGGTGCGTACTATTAGTCCTTTTATGCTTATTTATGAAATATTGTATATTATTCTTATTCCTAACAGTTTTCCTTATTTCCTTTATTGACATATTTGGCTTCTCATGGTATTGTCATGAGTTTTTTTTTTTTAACTTTTTAGAGTGGTATGGAGTAACATTGGCCATTAGATTCTATTTGCATTGTGTCCTGAAACATGTGAGTACTTACAATTTTTTAATTTTGTTATATTTAGTTTTCTCTAGCTATGTATTTTTAAAGCATCATACTTATTCTTTGTTTCTTCTACATTTGTAGGTAACTACCTCATAAACAAAAAAATGTGTTCCTTTCTCGATGAATGCATTTAAAAACTCTCCATTATATGAATCCTCTAATATGAAGTTAGCTCATAGATCCATAGATAATTTGATAATTATTTTATTACTTTTTGTTATTTCCTTAGAGTTGTAAGTTCCTTAATTCTATCACTCACTCACTTTAGCAAGTGCATACTGTGCCTTCAACTACAATAGAGTTTATGGAACCACTACAAAACACAATCTACAGACAAAAAGATACAAAATTCCTACAAATATAACATCATCCGCCAGGATAATATATATCAAGAAAACATTTGAAATATACCGCAAAAGATACAAGGATAGATAGCAAAACAAGAAGTACTGTTACAAGTAGAATAGTGCATTTTTTTAATTTGATAACCTACCTATTTTCTATGGAGGAGAATGTAGTACACCACATGCATCTTGCAATATGTAATGTTGTTTCTTATTAACATGCGATTGATTGCTAAACTAATTAAGTTCTTTCCCTTCCAATTATTATTAGGCTTTTTAAAGTTTATTCTTTACTTATGCTGCTAAACTAATTAAGTTCTTTCCCTTCCAATTATTATTAGGCTTTTTAAAGTTTATTCTTTACTTATGCGTTTGTTTAAAATGTTAATTCCAATTATTATTAGGCTTTTTAAAGTTTATTCTTTACTTATGCGTTTGTTTAAAATGTTAAATATAGCTTATTTGAAGTCCGTCAGAATCTTCTTTTGGTTTAATATCTTAATTTTTCTGCTATTGATGTTATCTCAAGTGTTAAAGTCTGTCTAGCTGCCAACCATGTTGATAATTTTCTTTTTCCTCTTAAGTAGTTTGCCTACTTCTATTCTAAATTGTATATGGTATCAAGTAGTAGAAGTATTCAACTTGTCAATAGCCATTTTGTCTCCTCAGGCTGTTCTAAGTAATGTTCATTCCTCTTTATGAGCAATAAATTACACGCCATAGCTTTTATGTTGTAATTTTGATGCATGTATTTATGACTAGAGTTCTTTCATAAGTCGACAAAGCTCACCAAGAGCGTGCTTTTAAGGTACAAAGTAGAAAATTATATGCATTATCTTTATCTGTGTAACATGAGGATATTTGAGTGGATTTTACATTAACCTAAGATAAAGTTTATTAAGAGAGTGAAAACATTTGGAATGATTTTACTGTTTTTAAAATTTTTTGTCTCTTTTGACTTCATTAGACATTTATTATGAAAAGGAACGAAAACCTCCCAAAATAAACCTTTATTACTCTTTATTACTCCCTCAATCTTCTATTTCTCTCCCAACTTAAACAGGAAAGCAACTCCCTTTATGGGCAACCTCTTCTCTCTTTTTTGCACTTTCACCCATTCTAAAGTGTTTTTAATGATAACAATATTGATTTCTATATAAATTTGCATTATGTTGTGTTGGATAGCAGGTTCCTAATCTGTTTTGGTAATAGGTTATTAGGATTCCTAATCTATTTTGGTAACATGATTCTTAATCTGTTTTGGTAACATGTTATTAGGATTCCTAAGTTGTTTTGTTTTTTGTTTTAGAATTTCTAGCCTGTTTTGGTTTTAGGTTTTCTATATCTTGTTCACTCAAATCCGCAAGTGCACGAATATCGTTGTAGCGATGCAAGGTCGTATCCTCAGGGACTTCGTTGTTAATTACTGATTTTCATTATTTTGTGACTATCTAAACCAATCGTGCTAAAAAGTATGATTTTTAACTATCAATAATGAACGTGCTAACTAGTGAATCCACTCAATTAAAAGAATCTAGGATTGAACTTCGGTTTCAACTCTGGTTTGAATCAACAAATTAATCAATTGTTATTGAATCTCTCAATGCATTAAGAACGACTAACCTATGATAGCTATTAGTCTCTTTCGACGACTAAAAGTCGTGCCTAATTTAGCCTAACACCCTATTTTCATGGTGTTGAACTAAATTAAACCCATTAAGTTCACGTTAATCCCTCATGTTTTCAAGAATAATTAACCTACTTTTGTGATCAATTTATTTATGTTCAATTACTATTTTCCGACGTCAATATAACCTTTCAGTTCAAATCAACAACCTAAAAAGATTAAATCAGTAGCTAATTGAATTAAGCAAAGGCAATTAAATACTAGCAATTGAATAATGCAAATCAAACAGTCAATAATAACAACAATCAGTTCATTGATTCATAACCATGGCCGAACCTAGTTCAATCCTAGATAAGACAATTACTCACACATAATTGAAATAGAAAACATGATAACAATATGTAAGATCATAATCACAAACTGAAAAACGAGAGAGATCAGAAAGATAAACTGTAGTGTTGAAGTTGCACACAATTCTCCACAAACAGCAGATTCCAAATCAAAAGAAAACCTAATCTAAGAGTTTTTAGAGAGATGTGGAGAAGAAGAAGAAAGAATAATTGAAATCTCTAGCCTCCGGTCGTTTTTCATGCCTCTGGGCGTCCTCATTTAAGTTCTGGGAAAGATCGCGTTAACAGATAACTTCAAATCTTGCTTCAAATCTCGTAATAACTGAATACTGATACCAACACGGCTGTGTACATTAACACGACCAAACCGTGTTTAACTCTGTTTCGCTCTGCTCTCTGGGGTTTTCTTCTGTAATCAACACGCCTGTGTTGTTGAACACTAGGGGACCGTGTAGTCTCTTTCCATGCATTCCTTGACTCCTTCTTGACTCTGAATCCGTGCTAAGCTCCAGTAATTCCTACACAATATATAAATAGAGCAGTAAACAAGAACTAGGGAGCTTAACATGGCCAAAATGCAAGGAAATACATTAAATAACAACGAATCTGTAGGTGAAACATAGTCAAAATATAGAGAATATTCGTGTTTATCACTCCCCTATGCTTGAACTATTGCTTGTCCTCAAGCAAAACAGATGGAAACACACACATGAGAGGGTACAGATTCAAAGAAAATAGAAATTAAGCACAAAGGTATCCACTATTCTCAAGTTCACATGCAACATTATTCCACCCAATCCAATGTCAAAATAGAAATCTTGTCTCAAGTTCAAAGTTGAAGAAAATGCATCCGTAGGCGTTCTCATACGTTAGTGCAAGTGACTCGACTCATAAACGTTGGAACGATGGTATAGCAAAGTTACATATTTTTAGTTGATTGCCCTAAACTCCTCGTGACAGACACATATCTCATCACAATGGGTCATACTCTTCCTACTTAAGGTCTCAAAGGAGCACTCGGTTTCCTTGCATTTTATTTATTTATTATTTTTTTATTCATTTTTTTTTGGAAGATCCCATCATAGTTAACACCTACTGACATGACAACCATACTTCTGAGGGTGCGGTGCTAGGTACTCGGTGCAACAGACTTTAGGACCCCTTTTTTTTCAAGGCTGAGTGTTTCTCCAGTAACCAATAAGTAGTCTAAGTCACCAAAGAAGCTTAGGTTTTAATTAGATGGGTTAAGCCAAAAGTCATTCCTATCTATTCCAATGTTTAGAGTTAAGTGTCGGCAAAGAGGAACTCGAACAGATAACATCCTAACCAACTGAACATGAAACAAAAATATTTTTTTAACAATGGGGCATGCGAAATAAATGATGTTAAGTGTCAAAAGGGCTTGCAAACAGTGGTACTCTTTTTCTTCTTCTTCTCTCTTTCTCTCTCTCTATAAACATAGAAAACAAGCACTCAAAAACACAGAGAAAAACACACCAAAGCATACATAAAAGACATGAAATATCATCCCGACAAACCAACTCACTCCCCCATGCTTGAATTGCACATTGTCCCCAATGTGTTTGAGTAATTTAAAGGAGGATAAGAAGGACTCACCACTCATTGAGGAGGCGGTGGAGGTGGATAATCATGAGGTAAAGAAAAGTGGTGCAAATCTTGTATCAACTGGTTCATCGTCCCTAGTGTAGCGCCAAAACCATCCAGACGCGTGTTAATTGCAGCGAATTGTGTGCCCATATCTTGTCGTAAGGAGTGGACAGACTCTTTTAAGTGTTGTTGCCCCCGCTCTAACATGTTGAACCTGTTGATCCAATTAGAGGACGCGCTAGATGTGGATGTAGCATGGAGCAAAGTGTGTGGAACCGGTTGTTGTAGGGGTACCCGAGGAGGTAGTTCGTAAGGCAAGTCACCTTCAGGTGGCTGCCAATTATCCTAGCTTTCAGTGTTAGTAAGCTCATGATTAGGGAGTGGAAAAATAGGTCGATTGAAGAAAGTTAACCTATATTCATCATCAATTTTAGTTATAAGACCAAAAGCTGTACAATATGATAAAGCCAATCGGGATATTGGTTTCTCAACAGGTAGATGAGTGAATGCTAATTTCATGCGTTCGGCGAGGATTGTGATCAACCCCCCAACAACAATGCACCTACACTAGATTTCCCGATTTTTTCTAACTGACTGGCTAAAAAGTATCCCACATCAACCACCATCCTATTAACTAGACAGTACAACAAGAAGACTTCGATATCCCTAAAAATACTGACGCTCTCTCCCCTACCAAAGATGGTGTTTGCCATGAGCCGCTGTAGATAGCAGAAAACTGGGTTATAAATTTGGGAAGCCTTATTTTTAGAAGGTTCATAAGGTCGATGATCATTTGCCCTGCCCTCTCTCTCACAGGTTATTGCTCTCCAAAAGGTGGCTGGTTCCCATTCTCTTGGGGGTTTTCTAAGTCCCTGTTCAGGTAGTCTAAGAAGGCGGTTAAATTTAGCCATACTGATCACATAGTCTTTGTTAAAAAATCGAAAGATCAGTTGACCACCTACGACGCTATCATTAGCATTAAAAACTAAAGAACTTAAGAATTCAAGGGTAAGTCTCCTGTATGTAGGCCGATGCAAAGTCACAAAATCTCCACAACCAATGCCATTTAGCAAATTATAGATGTTTTCTTTCAGTCCTAATTGTAACAATGCATCATTATCAATGAATTTTGTCGATGTCATGCGCCTAGAGACCAAGTTAGTAAATCGTACCTCTTGATTAAGATCAGGGTCAAAGATAATACCATCAGGGTTATTAGAAGGAGGCGAAGGGTTACCCCTTGTAGATCGGTGTTGCAATGCTGTCGGTGAGTTGGAAGTTGTTGCTTCATTGCTTTTTTTGTGTTTTGGAGCCATGGGGATGAATGGATGAGTTCGTGTTCCTCAGTTGATGAATGGGAGATCGTAGGAGTTGCGGGACAGTGCTGCTCTCGTTGGAATTTCAAGGGTGTTGTCTTGGTGTTGGAGACATTCCTGGTTGTGGGTTAGAGAAGAGGTGAAAATGATGACTATAGTGAGAAAAGTCAGTGGGTTTGAGAAGAGTTAATGGGTGATGAGGACTTCGGCATGGAGTGGGATGATGAGTTTATGGGGGAGGGGAAAGTATGGGAAGTTAATGGGGAAGTCAGGAGTTGTTGGTGAAGTTAGAACAAAATAATAATAATAAATGGGGGTGATGGAAATTAATGGGAATTGATAAGCTTTTGGGGAGGTGGGAAATTAATTAGGAGGTCAGCG